CCTTTCTTCCTTCCCTCCCTCCTTCCCTACTTCATTCCTTCCTTCCTCTCTTCCTACCGCTCTTCCTTCCTTTCTCTCCCTCCTCTCTCCCTCCCTCTCTCCATACAATCATATAGATTGTGTGTGTGTGTGGGTGCAAAGGGGGGTCATGAGGGCTCTGGGGGAAGGAGCCAATAGGGAATCCATCACCCACAAAAACAGACAAACAGATTGATAGATAAATGGATGTGTGTGTCAAGGAAAACCAGGGCACTTGAATGGGGCAGGTCACACGCTATGTTTGGAAAGGTGCTTGTTTCAAAAGTGTGCTTGAGGGATGTCAGGAGCCCTGGGAGTGATGCTTGCGCTGTTTGTGTCATTGGCACCTCCCTTCCTTTCTTCCTTCTCTCCCTCCTTCCTTACTTCATTTCTCCCGTCCTCTCTTCCTTACGCTCTTCCTTTCTTGCTCCTTTTTTCCCTTCTTTCCCTTTCTTTCTTCCTTCTTTCCCTCCTTCCTTCCTCCCTTCTCTCCTTCCTTCCTTCCTCCTTTCCTTCATCCCTGCCTGCCTTCCACACTTCTGCTCCTCCCCCTTTCCGCTCTTCCTTCTGCCCTTCCTCCCTTTCTTCCCTTCTCTCTCTCCTCCCTCCCTTCAAACAAACATATTCATAAATAGATAGGTGTGAGTTTGTGTGTGTGTGAAGGAAAATCAGGGCACTTTCATGGCGCTGGTCACACGCTATGTTTTGATACGCTTTGAAATGTGCTCGTGTCCGTCCAGTATGTGCTTTAGGGATGCCAGGCGGCCTGGGAGTGAAGCTGGCAGAGTTTGGAGGAGGTTTGGGCTGTCAAATTGCATGAACATGGTGCAGAATAATTTTTGAATGCTTTGAAATCCAAAGGCAGTCAGCCTTGTTTGCGCTTCGCTCTGGGAACGATCCCTTTGACTCACTAGGCTCTGAACGCCACACACACTCGAGTCTCCTCTTCATTCGCTTCATCGCTGCCAGATCCTCATTGGACCAAGGAGCAGGTTTAGCTTGGCTACTTGAGAGGGGACGTTCCAGAGCCATCGTGTCTAGGTAGTTAATTATTTAGTCATTGTGGGTCTTAATCTTTTTGAATGGTGTCTTCAAAATTATTAACTCTCATCCATTCATTCTTTCATTCAATTCCATTCGAACCATATATCATATCAAATCTGCACATTATATTTCTTGGGACAAGCAGATGGTGAATCCTGGGTGGCATATGTTGTTCTGTATCAGAAAGTAGAGCTGATGTGTTCTCTCTAGTGCAGTTTTCTGAATCAGCACCCCAAATAACCAAACCAAATCTAATGTTGACCAAAAACTGATTTGTAACCCTTTTGGTACTAATGTTGGAGAGCGGTCCCTGGTCAAAAAAAGGTTGGGAGCCACGGCACTAGACAGATGGCACAAGGGATTGTAAATGGAAGCCTAGGCAAGCCATGTGAAATTCAAAAAGGGACCCCGCAGGGATGCCCACTCCCACCTCTTCTATTTACACGAGTTCTTAAAGGATTGTTAAGGGACATAAGAGATGAGGAATAGATTTCTGGAGTAACGA